AAAGAGCACAGATTCCATAGTCATAAGGGCCAAGGTTCAAATCCCGGCTCTACCACTTACTAGCAAGCACTGAGCACAGGACAACTTTGCTGAGTTTCAAACTGCTTACATGGAAAATGAGTTTAGACAAAGACTAGTATTGGTGAATGAGTATGTGGGGTAACTAGAACTCTCAAACACTGAGACAACCACTTTGGAAAACTGTTGGACAGTTTCTATGGACATACCTAAGAGAAATGCATGCAGATGTTTTCCAGATGGTCCATGTTAGAATGCTCACAGTAGCACTATTAGTAATAACTAAAAATTAGGTGGGAGATTGTGCCTGGAAGTAAAAAAAAAAGGGGGAGGTTCTAGGTGCTGACAATGCTATTTCTTGATCCGGGTGGTGGTTAGATGGGTATACAGAATATATACTTATTTTGTATGCAAAGTTTTACATAAGAAAAAGTGAATCTTATATCTACTTTATGAGAGAAATGAGATGTCACATGAAAAATGTTTTCAATAACATTTGGATGGTCCCAACAAATGCAAGTTCCTTACCTCCTGCCTATTATTGTCATAGAATCCCATAAGGGCAGGAGTTGTGACATTCTCACCTCTGTCCCCTTGTAGTAGCTTGTATACAGCAGACACTCCATAAATGATGATACCTCATCAGGTAAAAACAACTGATAACAACTTAAAGCCCTTTCCTTACATCTCTCCCCAAGATGAATTTGTATTTTACCAGTTTAGAGACATGAAACTAAAGGGAAAAAATACTGAGGTAGAATTAGAGTCACCAATTAGGCCCCATAGAAGGACCCAGAGGTAGAGGCACCTTTCTGGTCCTGAAAAGATGAAATCACAGCTACAACTTTTAGCCAGAGGCACAGGCCACCAGCTGCAGACATCCCAGGATGATGCCCCTCTTAACGCCCACATTTTCTTAATGGGCTCTCTAGAATTCACGTTCCTGCCCCTGCCCCAACAGTAGGCAACACTTCTGAGGGTTAACATATTTCCTAGAACCTCACAGAAAGGAGCCCCAAAGACCATGTAGGGGATTTTTAGATTCTGTTTCAAGAGCCACCAGTGTGAGGAAGGGGAGCCAGAGCAGTTTTCCTTTATCCATACTCTATGTTAGGGTTCCGTATAAGAATTCATTGGGAAGGGTGTCTGAAATCACTGCCATCTTGTATAATTCACTTGTTTTACAAAACAAGGAAATTGAGGTCCAGACAGTGGAAGGGACTTACTAAAAGTCACATATCTAGCCCACTCCAGCTGTTCTTCCCAGGCTTCTGTTGACAGCACCCCCAACCCTCCAATGGTGGCACCAGGGTTGAGGAAGTCAGTGGCCTCCTGAGGGACAACCTAGGAGGAGGCCTCCAGGGCTGGAGGATAACCCCACAGGGGAATCTCAACCCTACTAGGCCCTCTCTCCCACTGGCCCCAGCTCACTCTGCTGAATGCTTGGAGACCCTCATCACACCTCACCTAGTGTAAGTCAGTGAAATGGGACCATTGCAAAGGAGCAGGTATGATTGTCCCCTTACACCTTCCACCCCACCCCTGCAATTTGGAATCATCACAGGATGAGGAGGCTGCCAGCAGAAGGGAGGGGGCCCTGGCATTACAGAGCCCCTCCAGGCATTTGAAGTTTTGACCCACTCCAATCTCTGATAAGGAAGCTGGGGCTCAGAAAAGATTAGCCACTTGCCTAAATTGACATGAGAAAACTCCATCTTTCTGGGGATGGGCCAGCTCCACTGGGCAGCCTGATTGTTCACCCCGACATCTAACAACTAGGGAGACTTCAAGGAGGTATCAGGGTCAGTTCAGGTCTCATTCTTGCCAGCTGGAACTTGCCCCAGACCAGCACACACCACATCCACCCACTCTTGTGCCCCCTGCCCAAGCCTCTCACAAAGCTGCTGAATTATTAGTGGGGCCACTTTAGGTGTTAAAAACATATCCTGGAAGATGAGTGGTTTAAGAATAGGACTCCGAAAGTTTTTGTGAAGGAGCCAAGGCACCAGCACCCCTCAGTCACCAAGACTCTCCCAGGAATATCTTACACAGAAGCACTTGGGAAATAAGCGTCAGAAACTACAGCAGCCCCCAGTTGCCCTCCATTGGATTCTAAAGTACAAGGTATCAGGGGCTGTGCTCTCACTCTACCCGTCCCCAGTGACCTTCCCACCTGCCTCTAGGCAGCCAGTGATGGCCCCCTTCTTCCAGTGTACACCCCTAATCTACCGCTACCTGTGTGACCTCCATGCTCATCTCTCTGGGCCTCATTGACTCCTTCATAAAGTGGGAATCCTAATTTCCACCTCGTGGAATTACAGCGAGGATTTGCCAGACCATACATACCATAAGACAACCACAATACCCAGCCCAGAGTTGGAATCACCAATACTCTTCTATGCCTTTCTACCGTAGCCTACACAGACCTACTGGCTGCCCCCATGCCCACACTAGCTCTGCCCCAGGCTACACTCCTGATGATGAGGTTCACGGCTTCATTCTGCCATGTAGGAAGCTGCCTGTGCACGGGAACAGCCTCCTATTATCACCTCTTGCAGCAAGCGGGGAGACGGAGGTATACGAGACGACTGATGCCAAGACCTAGCTCCCCTCCTCCCAGAAATCTAGGGCGCTCTCCTCCGCCAAGGGACCCTAACTCGATGGAAGACTGTCTCCCATCTCCTCCCATGGTACCAGGCCTCTGCCCGCCGCCCCTTCCCTCCGGTCAAAGTGCCAGGCTTCAGAGCGCGCCCTGGGGACGCGGCGGGCAGGTCCTGACGGTCCAGTGCCGGCCACAGCGCTCAAGGCCATGGCGGGCCATACCCGGGGGCGGCGTCAGGGACCGAGGTGGCTGCATTTGAGAACACGAGAGTGCGCCCCGGGGCAATTTGCCGCCGCCAGCCTCACCCCTGGGAGGCCGCTGCGGTCGGGCCGCGTGCTGCGTCCCGCCCGTCGAGCTCGCACACCGGCGCTACTCACGGCGGAAGGCTGCGCTGCGGCTGGCGTGGGGGACACGGGAGTCACGGGGGCGCAGCGGGGCGCGCGGCGATCCGCTCGGCTCTCCTCCCTGCGCGCCGGGTGCCCTCCCACTCGCCCGCGGAGCCACGGAGGAGCCGAGGGGGCGGAGCGGCCAGCCCTGTCCCAGGCGCCGGCTGGAGGCGCGCCCGGCTACCCGGGACAGGGCTCGGGGCGCCCCCTGCTGGGAACCCCCGGGACAGCCCTGGGAGGAGGGCCCGGAGCCTCCTTGCCAGGTCCCGGCGTTTACCTCCAGAGACCTGGCAAGACTCCCCCAGCGTCCTTACCCTCTCTGCCACTCGTGTGTTGGGTGGCCTTGGGCAAGTCAGCTAACCTCTCCAAGCTTTGTCTGGAAATTGATTTAAATGAGCTAAAATATGTGACATAGCCGGGTACAATCACTCGGAAAATGGTATTTCCTTGCCCCACCCCAGTCCCATCACACACCGTAAGATAGGAAACCCCACTAGGGAAAAGGCCCTTTCCTCCTTGTCACTCAGCATGCTCACCGCACAGACTCTTCTGGGAACCTCACCACCCACATTTTACGGCGCGGTGGGGAGTGTGACGGGGACAGACACTATCTGCCTCACCACCACCCCTCAGCTTGGGAGCGGCCTGGCTTCGCTTGGCCTCTGTGCCCTCGGCCTTGGCATGGTTGGTGAGTGAAGTCCCGCATCACCATCAAGCCTTCCCTAACAAAGGACTTGAGTGAGAGTGGATTCCCCCTCTCCTCCTTACCCCAAAATCTCAGGAGGAAAAAAGGAATGAGAGGGTGGGGGAGGAAGGAAGCAGAAACAGAACTTCAGCCAAGTTCAGTTTTCTTACTTCAAGGCAAGAGGCTGTTTAGTGAAAGAAAATGGAAGCCTCTTCCCAGAGCTTCCATTCCCAAGTCACCCAGCGAGCTTCTCAAGACAGTCCTAGAGGAAAGAGCATTAGATTTAGAGTCCTGCCGTTGGGGTCACAGCCCTGCTCTGCCATTCCTTGTGTATGGTCTTGGGCATGGCACTTGAGCTTTTCCTTCATTAATAAAGTGGGGGAAACACGCCTTCAGACAGCATCTAATGGAGCTATTATGAGGCTAAAATGAGAGAGTGTGTAAGATGCACCTAGAGGACCAATTCCAGAGTAAGCCCTTTAGCCTTTCCCACACGAGTACTGACAAGTACAGATGAACCTTGCCTTCCAGCTAACCAGTATGTCAGGGCCTGGGACAGCCTAGGGAAAGGTCCCAGAACTTCCCTGTTTATAAACTACAATATCTCAGGACAGTGCAGGCTCTAAGCTTCCTGTCCCAAGAGCACTGTGCTACTTGGAGTAACTATCCAAGACCAGAGGTGGCTTCCGAAGTCAGCAGGTAGAGGGGAACATCTGCTGAGGCTTCACCAGTGCAGGAAGGCCTTTCACCCTCAGACCACCCTCAATCCCCTCACACCCATTTCCAGTTATCTATTAATGTGTAACAAACCACCCTTGGTATCTTGAAACAACATTCTTGTTAGGCTCACAAATTCTGAGGTCAGAAATTCAGATAATACACAGCACATGTGGCTTATCTCTGCTCCACAATTTCTGGGGCTTCGACTGGGAAGACTTGAGTGGCTGGAGGATGAAATATTCTGGAGGCTTCTTCATGCAATGGTCAGTGCCTAGGATGTGATGAAGCCAAGGCCAGGCTCAGCGGACACTGCTGGAGCACCTACATGTAGCCACTCTCTCCATTCCCCTCTGAGCCTCAAGATGAATACATAACTTGCAGCAACAATATCACCTTGCATGAAGCAAAACAGATATTTTTGGAGTTGGTACTTGGAAAAATATAGAGAACATTGCAATTGAAAAGGTCATTGTCAATCATCCCATCCAGCCTGGTTATTTTTCAGATGAGGAAACTGAAGCTCAAAGAAGAGAAATTACTTGTTCAAGGTCACATAGCTAGTGAGAGGCAGAGCTAGGAATAGAACCAGGCCTCCTCCAGATTCACAATTTGGTGCTCCTTCCACTGTATCTGCCAAATGCAATTGCCTATAGAAGTACCATCTGGAAATGCATTTATGCTTAAGATTGAATGAGTTTATTACCTAAGAGCAGTGACAGGACACTGAGCACTGAACAGGAGACCAAGGCAGCTGTGGGCAGAGAAGGAGAGGCCCTGAGTGTGGTGGCGACAAGGACGCCTACTCCAGAACAAAGCCAGGAGAAGGTCCAGTTATTAAGAGCTAAGAATTATGTAACTCTTCTAGTTCCTGCCTGATTTCCACAGTTGACCAAATAGAGCCTAAATGCCTCACCCTCGCAGTTAAGGCTCCAACCTGCATGTCCCCGCTACACAAGCACATCCTCTGCCCTCTTGTGCATGCACATCTAGCTCTTTTGCCAGGTTGGATTATTGGCTGTATCTGCCTCTATGCCTTTGATAAAGCCATTCTACCATCACATCTCTCAACCCATCCCACAAAATCCTATCAAAGGGCCTTCAAAGTATCATATCTTCCATGGAAACTTCCCTGATCTGCCCTCTAGATGGCTTTCTCCCCTGAGGACTACCACTCTTGGTTTGTACCTAATTGGCATTCTTTTTCTATTCTAGTTATGATTAGTGTCCACTTCCGTTTTCCTCAAGGACAAGAACAATGTGTTATTCTTCTTTGTACCCATGCAGTGCCTGATATCCCAAACCTAATAAAGTTTGTTAAATTGAATTACTAGAATGTAAACTCCACAAGGTAAGGGACCATAATTGTCTTATTTCCTATTGTTCTCCAAGGGTGCCCAAGTGCCTGGCACTTAGTAATCTCGTGTTGAATGGAGAGATATATAATTAATTTTAATAGCCGCCACATATTACATTTCACCTAGCACATGCCATCTCAAAGCCAGGAGCTTTACTTCAAGGTCAATATTGTTATCCTCTTTTACAGAAGAGGTAACTGAGGCTTAGGAAGTTGACTTGCCCAAGCTCACCCAACCTGTAAGTGGCTGAATCATGATGTGAATCTTGCCTACCCATCTCCAAAGCTCAAGCTCTTTCTGTTTCCCCCCAGTGCCTGCCCTCAATTGAAACTTACAAGTGTTCTAAAATGATATGAGTATAAGGATTCTCAGCTCTGGCTGTCCAACAGAATTGCCCTGGGAGTGTTTAAAAATCCCTATGCTCAGACTGCACCTCACACCAATTACATCAGAATCTCTGGGAATGGGGTCTGGGCAGCAGTAATGGTTAAAACTCCTGGGTAATTTCAATATACAGGATTGGAACCAGTTTGTTCATGTCACGGAGACCTGAGGAAACGAAGGCATCCTCCATCAACCCACCAATGTGCAAACACATCTGAGCACCTGCTTTGTGCAAGACACTCCAAGGGACTGTGAGATAGGTAAGTTACAGGAACTAGAAGCTTCCACAGGATGAGAAGACAAGCCCACGGGAAAGATGTAACCATGGCAGGCACTAAATTTCATCGAAAGTGGTGATATCCTAAAGCGTACTTTGGTGCCTGGGAAGTTTACAGAGCTCAACAACCTGTTGACAAGGAGGGAGGGCCTGGATGAAGCTGCTGCATGTGTCGGCCCAGGCAGCTGGCACTAGGGTTGGCCTAAAGGATGCATAGTGTGAGGGCTAAATGTGGGGACTCGGATGCCAGGTGCTTGAGTATGGATCCAAGCACACAACTTACTGTATGATCTAGGGCAAGCTTCTTGATCTCTCTGTGCCTCATTATCCCCATTGGTTAAATGGAACTAAAAATAGCATTTATCTCATAAGTTATTATAAACATTCAATTAGTTCTGGATATGTGTAAAGGACTTAGTGTCTGGCACATGATAAAGTGCTCAATGAATATTAGTTATGTTTATTATTCCTTAAATGTCTGGTGTGAGCTCCTCTAGAGGAGGAAATGGATCTCACCCATCTTTGTATCCCACCCATCTCCAGCCTGGCCCAGAGCAGGTTCTTAGCAAGTATCAAATGAAGCCTGGAATGCAGGCTTCTTGTTAATGGGTCCAGTGCTGAATTCTTTCTTAGGCTATCAGGGCAGGCCAGGAGAGGAGATTGGTGGATCCTTCCTAGCTGACTCACCCCTTCGGAGGAAGGCAAGCAAGAAGCCTCCTCCTCCCAAAGGTGGCCTGGTGGCCTGTCTTCTCAGCCATTCCTGGCCCTGCCCACCCTACCTTGTGCCCTCTGATCTCCCACACCCAGCCAGGCGGGATCAGGGGTGTGGAGCAGGCCTGGCGCCCTTCCTGCTTCCTCCCTGAAGAGGTCAGCAGCTCTAATCTCTAGCCCTCTAGCCTGCTAGACTCAGCAAGGCCTTTACCCTACCACAGGGATGGGGCAGGGAAGGGGAGGAAAAAAGAAAGGGGCTGGGGCATGGGAGGCCTTGCCTTTCCCTGGAAGCTCTGGAGAGTGGGGATTCCTGGAACTATGTGCACTCTCCTGGGTACTTCCTGGAGCCAGATGCTGGCTCAGTGCCTGGAAGTGTCAGGTCTACTCCATCAGGCATCATGTGGGCATGTGGGGAAGAAGAGGCTTGATTCAAACTTGAAAGAAAAGGACCAGGAGAGTAGGAGATGGGGAGAGGGAAGGAGAACACAATAGGTGGAAGCAGCTGTGTGTACAAAAGCCTGGGGGTGTGAAACCACTTGCCATTTATTGCCTTGACTCCCACTTGAGCCAGGATTGGAGTCACACTCTGGGATCAGGACCCAGGCATATGCTGTCACCTTCTATGTGGAGCAGAGGTTGGTGACACAGGCACGGGATGCTTGGCCAGGGCCCCTAAACTATGCCCACCTTTAGGGCTACAAATTCTACTAAAGTACTTCTCTAGGCTCAGGAATCAGATAGGACTATTTGTATTTCTATTTTCAGCCACTTTCTGGACAAGTCACTTCCCCTGTCTGAGCTGCAGTTGCCTCATCTGTAAAATGGGAATAATTACACCTCGCTCTCTCAGGACTGATGTGAGAACCAGACAAAATATTTGAAACTGGCACAAATGTCAGTTTCTCTTCCAAAATAAATGTTTCCCTCTCTCAAGACTGTCACTTGTGCCATATCTCTCCAGCCATGTTGGTCCCGCCACTGCACCTGAGATACTTTATTTCTTTGCCCTTCATTTATC